CCTAAATTACAACACTCGCGAGAGTGTGACAATTCAATCCCGCTTATGTATTCCGATTCGCAAAATTATCAGACACATTTTTATTATACAAAAATTGAAATACCAATAATGGAAGGCTATAGAAAAAATGAAATAATTTACATGTTTTAATTTTAATGTAAAAGCTTTGTGTATTACAAATGATATTTAATTTGAATTGAAAAGATCTTTGTTGTATTATAAATTATTGGATTTTAGATAGTATCTACAATTTATAATTCTGATTGTACATGGTACGTAAATTTAGAACCATCTATAACTTTGATTATAGTCTAATAAATTTAATGCCATTTGTAGATTGTAAAATCAGTTCAGCATTATCTATAATCTATTTTTTAACTGGTACAATCTGTTTAATATTTGTAATTTAGAATTTAATTGGTACAATCTGTTTAGTAGCATCTATATTAATCTGGAATGTACGGATACAATTTGTTAGCATCTATAATACACGGAAGGAAATGATTTCAGAATAGATGTCATCTCTAACAATTACAAAAAAGACACATCAATTTTTAGGTCAAAAAAAAGCAACCGAATGACCCAATTAAAAATGAATTTTCCATTGTGAATTAAAAAAAAAAAGACATTTTATTTTCTTGAAGAATCCAATTTCCCTCCCACATATATTCTGAATGAGATTCACCTTGACGCGGATCATTAACCACCCGCGTTTATAATCGAGGAGACATTATTTTTCCTTCTGTTATTGTAAAAACAATTTCTTGTAATTACCAAACGCCTACACCCATAAGAAATTGCACATGATTCGTTCATCCAGCGGAAATGCGTATCTCTGGGGCGTTGGTTCATTTAACACTCAACATTAAAGCAATTTAATTTGTATTTTTCTAAGTCATTAGTTTTAAACTTTTTTTTTTTCATTGCATAAAATTATAATTTACTAAATCATTTTGATGATGCGCGTTTTAATTTTCAAATCCAAAAATACAGAAGAGAACTCAAAATAGCATGAGCCAAAAGTTTTGAACGTTCAAATGAACGAAATTTTTTTTGCAACTTCTTTAAGTACGAATTTTATTACAAAATATTGTTTTAAATATCTAAAAAGAAATTTAATTCACTGTTTTATTTTACATTGACATAATAATTTTTAGATTGAAAAAAATATTTCCTTCATTTGAACGTTCAGAACTTTTGGCTCATAATTGATATTAAAATTGTAACATATATAACTTTGATATTTCAAAGAGTTCCTTTGTGAATTTTTCAATATTCTACAAATTTCTATATAATCTTTTTAAATTCATTTCGCCTTGTGTTTATTTTCATTTACCAGTTCTTTCGAGCAAAAAACAAAAAAAAAACTCCCTCAACAATAACAAAATTCTCAATTAAAAAATAAACAACGGAAATTGAAACCTTGACGGTTTATTTTCTTCAATAAACAAAAATTTAATTTTGTTTATCAAACTCATTCACAATGAAGATCAAATAATTCGTTTAAAAAGGAAATAAAATATTTTCAAAACGATACTGTTACAAAAAAAATGAAACTTTTGCAAAAACAAAAATTGTGTTTGATAATTTTCCTTTAAAAAAAGAAAATCAATTTAAGGGAAAAAAAACGACAACACTTTCAAAGTAACATATAAATCTTGAGTGTAAGAAAAGTAGTATCTTGTTCCAGATTTTAGAGAGAGACAGACTTTAATGTGTTGGGGGATAAAGTGTAAGAAGATTAACGAAAGCCCAAGTGAAAGAAATTTTCCTCTTAAAAGCACCTTTTTCTCTCCACAAAGAAGAAACATTCCCAACAGAAGTAATACACACGTTTTTGAAAGCCATGTTTTTAAAGCAGAATCTAATTATTAATGAGATGAAATTTTAAGCTCAATTTCACCTGAATATACGAGAAGATTGTAAAAATGTGACATTTTGCAAAAATCCTTATATTTTTAATAATTTCAATTTCAATTTCAATTTCATTTATTAACGGGAATAATAATAATAAATTATAATAACGGGAATAATAAATTATTTTTTATAATTTCAATAATAATTATTTCTTATTGAAGTAGTTACTAAGTACTTAAAAAAAAATTCAGTGGTAATTACAAAAAAAAAGGAAAAACCCTTTTCTATTATTTTAAAACTATATATACCGTCAGATTAGGTCGTATAAAGACGAACCTTGCACTTAAATATATTTCCATATCTTAAGGCTGATCCATTTCCTGTGTCAACTTGTGGTTTTCCTCTCAAGATTATATCTGCTCTAGTGAAAGACGAAAACTATCGGGGAAAATTAATTCATTTGTCGCGAATATTGCGATTTTATGATAACAAAAAATGTCTGTATTTTATAAAGTCATTCATCTTTTCTTTTTTTTCTTTTATTAAACATACACCTTGATTTTTTTTAAAATATTATTATCCACAATAATCCCTGATATCAATCAATCGTAAAACGAATTATTTTATTGCAAGATAAAGTTTGAAATTGTACTTGAGAAAGTGAAACTATGTTTAAAAACGTTATTTTAGTTTTAAATCTTTAAAAAAAAGTTTCCTTTCCCATAATCTTGATTTTTATTCAAGGAAAGTATTGTCTTAAAAAACTGAGCGAGAAAGAGAGAAATTTCTACTTTGTGATTTCAATTTGAAATCTTATGAAAAATATTTTGCTTCAAAAAAAAAACTGCCATAATAAAAGATATTAACATTTTTTAAATGATAATATTTCAATGTAATACATGAAAATTGGCATAGACAAGTTTTTAATAGAAAAATAGTATTTCAAGATGACGTGAAATATTTTTATTTTTTTCCAAACAAGGTATGGAAAACTTTCATTTTCAGAATACTGAATGTCAAGAAATTGGAAGGTGACATTTCAATTTTCCATATTCGAGATGGAATAGAATATTCCAGAACTCATGAGTTGAAAATGGTCAAATATAAAAAAAAAAAAAAAATTTGAATAAAAATTTCTAAATTGAAAAAAAGTGAAAAAATTACAATTATAAAAAATGTGAAATAATTATAATTTAACGACTCAGTAATAATATTTAAAAAATCATTAACACCTGGAATAATGCATTAAATTATATATTTACATCAATAATTAAATATGAAAAATTAAATACAAGATGAGAAAAGGAAACTTTTTTCATTTTTAAGTCGATGCAACAAGATATCGTTTATTAAAGTACAAGGTCGTTTAAATGCAGAAAATATTCTCGTTTCCAAAGTCATCAGGAACTATTAACAAGTTCTATCAACATGAATATATGAACATAATCATTATTGAAAACTTAACATAAGTATATGAAAACGATACTGAATCTTTAACACTGCTACTTTATGTAACTAATACCACCATCAGAATATTTCTATCAAAAAAAAAAATTAAATTGATTCTAATTAATGAATAAGAAATTAGAATTATATTTTACACAAGATATTAAGTTGAAATTCTCGAGAGGAAAATGTTAACAAGCCCGATAAATTTTTATTAAAAATAGCAAAATTATATATATATCTTTATTCTAAAAATAAGAGATGAAAATAAATTTTTATGATCAAGATTCCATGGAACAAAAATAATATTCTTTAAATATCAAATTCACGTATAAGTATATTAATCAGAATTTTAGTTTTTTAAATATTATAAAAATTATTCGAAAAAAAATTTATCAGTTTCATTTATATTATTTTTACTATCACAAATATTTTTACCATTTTTTAAATAAATAAATTAATAAACAAGTACATAAAATAAATAAATACAAAAAAAAGAGAGAGAGAAAAAAATCAAAATAAACATTGAGAAAGGAAATTTTTCTCAATTGGAAATTTGTAGAAATGCACATAATATTGTCGAGGCGAAGATGCGTGAAACGAGACAAGAGTAAATTCTTTAATACAATTATAAGTCTACGACCAAAGTGTATAGAGACTCTATTTTTGTACATTCCGAGAAGCAATGCGATAGTGTCTACTTTTCAGAGGTCGTATGAATGGTTTGTGGCTCCTCTAATATTTGGGCAAATTTCCCACCATTTTATTCCCTCTCTAAAGAGGAAAGAAACGAGGAGAAGAAGAAGAAGAAGAAGAAGAAGAGAGGGGAAGGAGGGTACCACACACTTTTGGAGGGGTTTCAGTCGTTGAACTTGAATTCGTCCTCGCTGAATTTAACGAACTCGCACTAGCACCTGCGCAATATATAGCAACCTATGATCACAAATTTTTGCTCCAAAGAAACGACCTCGAAATTCACTTCATGTTCAGTCACACGTTTAAATAATATAATTTTATTTTATTGCTTTCAGCTCTCAAAAAAATTAATTCCACTAAACGCGTTTGTATAATTTTATAATTAAATCTATCATCTGCAATCATGAAAATAAATGAATTGACTATTATGGAAAAATACATAAAATGGAATTAGTAATAAACTTTCTTGATAATTAATTGGGAGATATATATATACAATTTCAGTCGACCTCTTAAGGTGAAATTACACCTGTGTGTGCGAGCTTATCTATGTTGATAATTTTCTACTCAGGAAACTAGAAATAATACCTAAAGATAAGAGGTCAAACGAAGAGATCAATTACACTATTCATTATTATTACAAATTAATTTTGTAACTTCAAATTGAGTATATAAACAATAAAGACAAAAATACGGAAATATCGATAAATTGTTTATATTTAATCGCATGCCAAGAAAGAATAAAGTAAACAATTTATATCTTAAATTACAACATAAGAAATTAAAACGAAAAAGTAAAAAAACAAAAAAAAAAAAAGATAATCAAGTAATTAATAATTCAATAAAAATTAAACACAGAAAATAATAAATTCGAATAATTTCTATTCAATTTATTTTCTATCGATTTCAAATATAAAAATAAATAAATATTAAAAGTCTAAACTTATTTTCCACCAAATAAAAATAGTCCGAAAAATTGAATTTCTAATATAACCTCTCACCTTTTCTAACAAAAAATTTATAAAATCCTGAAGCGTCGAAATTCTATTAATCCAAATCAGCACAACTGCAACAAGAACAATATTGTCTCTCATCAAGAATAAATAAGCCTAACAATTGCAAATATAACAATTAATTATTAATTTGTACGCCAATAATTATTTGCACAATTAATCATTAATTGCAATTATAACAATTGTAAAATAAATTTTGAAAACAAATAACTAATGTTTAAAAAAAACTTTAAAAAGAAAAATTATTTTCTAAAAATAAATTGAATAATAAAGAATAAAATAACCCATAAATAATTTGTCTGGAAAGTTCTAAATTAGATAGATGATGTAATACACCGGAAACTGAGAAATATTTTATCGATTTACTCATCGTATATATTAAAACTAAATGTCTACTTTTTATTTTTCTGGCATATATATAAAAAAAAAGTATGAAACACTCACCGAATATAAGAGTATAATCCGTGGTCCAAGAATAGGGGAGAGCACTGAATAATTAACAATAAATTTTCCCGTGAATTTTTACTCTTCTTTACTTCTCGTGGCACATATCAGACCGGAGATATAATTTCTCGGTCTGAATTCGAAAAAAGGAAGTAGCCAAAACACTTGTATTAAAGTTGAGTATAAATTAGAACTCGAAAATCCACTGGAAATGTACACACTAAAAACTTGCTGTCGTCGTTGAACCGAACACTATTACTACTATGTTGAAAAGAGAAAAATCAACGCGCGCGCCAAATTGAGGTTATGTTGCCGGCAGCGCCAGTTTTTATATATATATATGTAGTATACGCTTACAGTAAAATTTCCACAATTTTCACGAATTATCCCACTGATAAATAAATTCCCGTACACTTAATTCAGCACCGTTGTTAACACAAAGACGTCACAAATTGAATTCTTTTCAATTGGGAGAGACAAATTGACAAATGTCACATCCGAGACGCCACACACTGGTTTAACGCGCGAAACGGTTGGACCTGAACAAAGGAAACCGGCAGAGGCGACGCAACACGTTTGTCAAGAATTTCAAGTTAATCACTCTGTCAGGATCTTCTTCTTCTTCAATGATCTTGTTTTTTTTTTACAAATTTGCAATTGTAGCGTCTTCTTGATTGTTAACCGGCTTTGTCGCGAATATAAAACGCGCTAAAATAGAATTTATTGGTAAATTTAGGGTGCGTTCACGCGAAACGAAATAACTATCGCGACAAAACGAAGGACGAGGAAAAGGCTTGAAGGGGGTTCGTCGAATGGAAACCACGGCCTTCGCAAAAGAGACTTCCTTTGTTCAGAGCAGGCTGCTTTGTGAATCTCCAGACATTGTGTTCGTTATTTTTTCGTTACTTCTGTTTATTAGCGATAATTTTTATTTTTTTCTCCCGGGTCCGTTTTCTTCTTTCTGTTTCCCTTTTTTTCTTATTTTTCTCAAACTACACTTTCTCTCTTGATCTTCTATAATGACTTTTCTTTTTTCTTTCTTTCTTACTCCTTCATGTATACACACACACACTCGCTTTTTCCTTCAAAGCACTCTCGATACAAACAGTTGCTCGGTCTGTTGGTAACTGAGAGAGACTGCGGGTGCGGGTGAAGGCGCATTCACACGCATTTGGCGTCCCTTCTCATCGCCGGCGCGACACCATTGGTGGGGGTAACCTAACCTACCCCTCCATTGGAACAACCCCTCTCTATTCCCCCACTTATTCACCTTTTTACCAGCAACCCTGCGGCGTAAACTGTCGCGTCGGAAGGTTATTCAGGATATATCAACTGGACCCTCAAAAGTCTGAATTTCTTTTTAAACTCTCTGCTAACTCGAAATTTTGACAATATTTCTGAATTTGATCGGATAAAAAAAAAAAAAAAGAATTTACATAGAAAGATTTTCGAAAAAAATTCTTTTATTCAAATTTTTAAGACTCAATTTTTATTTTATAGCGTTATCAGTTTTTTTTAAAAAGAAATGATAGGGGGAAAATTATATTTTTATATGAAAAAAATTACAGTGGCGGATAATAAAGGGGCTTTCCTATTTAAAAGAAAAAAAAATTTTAATTTGGTTTAATTTTTATTTTTAAATTTTATTTATAACAATTTTTATTCTAATTGCTAATAATTTTTGATAAAAATAAAAATTAACATCAATTATAACAGTTTCATAATATTACGTCATGCATTTATAAATACGTTTTAGATTACCAAATTAAATTATATAAATAAAATATAATTATAATAATTTAAATAAATTAATCTTAATTTAATTTTGAATAAAAAAAAAATTTTGTAGATGTAAATTTTTTTATTTTTATTGTGAAAAAAAAACATTGAAAAATTATAAAATAATAATATTAAAATAAAAAATTATTGTTTTAACTAAAAAGTGGAAAATAGAAATTATTTTTTTTTTTTATGTTAATAGAATTATTAGCATTTGTGTCTCTATATAGTAATTGACATATTAATAAATTTATGCTTAAATAAATAATATAACAGTTTTGGTCAATTATCAATTATTAATTTATAATCTACAAACATGTCATTAATAATTAAATAATATATCAATGCACTGACAGATCTGTTTATTAGGTTATTTATCAATTATCAATTTAAATGTCATTCACACCACAAGATTACAAATCTTCATTTAAAATTTTAAATTTACATCTAAATTGTTAAGTTTTCGTTTAATAATAATTTATTAATTATATTCAAATATTAGTATTATTAATATTAGTATTATATTATTAAAAAAAATAATTATTAAAAAAATAATTATTAAAAAAAATAATTATTAAAAAATTATAACAAAAGGTTAATAATAATTTAATTATTGAGTGATTGATAATTTTTATCATTTAAAACTTTTATCGAGTGATAAATTCAATTTTTTATTAAAATATTTGTTATTAAATAATTTTTTTAAAAAAATTATAATTGTTTAAATTTTTTTTTTGTTTTACAAAAATTAAATTTATTAAATAGTGTTAGAAAAAATTTCAAAATTTTTCAAATAATAAAGTTTATATAACTTTCCGCTTAAATTGAACGATGATTTTGAATATATAATATTGTGTGAACTATAAAGGTTTCAGATGAGCGAACGATGTGACCAAATTAGACTTTGATGACAAGAGCTATATACGTTAATAAATTAATGAGTTTATATTTAACTCAATTTATCCGTGTTGCTAAGCTAAAAAAGATGAAAAAGACGAAACTTGCTCTCTTATTATTATGTTTTTTTTTTCATTTATACACTAATAATTATTATCAAACTAAAAATACATTTTTATTCTTTTTTTTTCTCAATATTTTTGTTTTTCAATTGTATATAAAAATATGATATAACATTATTATCAGTGATTTCAAATTTACTTTATAAATAACTGGTAAATATATTTTAGCAGTAAATTGCAATAATAACTTTTTCAAATGAAATAAATTGGAAATATATCAAGTTACGCGAAGTTTGTTTAACGTAATTATTTCTCGATATGAGCAATTTTCAAATTTTGTTGCGTAACGAAATTTTGGAATCGATAAATTGAATATTACCTATATATATATATGAGAGAAGAAATTTGCTTTTTTTAAACCGAAAAAATTTGGCTAGAAACTTGTGAGAATAATAATTAGAAAAAAAAACAAATTAGAGAAGAAATTTGCTTTTTTTAAACGAAAAATTTGGCTAGAAACTTGTGAGAATAATAATTAGAAAAAAAAGTGAATATTTTTGTATTTTATATTTTTGAAATAAAAATTAAAAATTAAACTCCAGATGGGGAAAATATTTTTGTTGGGAGGAAAAATGAATTTTTGAAAAATTTAAAACATAAATTTTGTGCGGTTAATATTTAAGGGACACCCAGTAACTCGTATAACTCATCCAAAGGAGAAACCACCAGGTATAAGGAACGTTGGCCCACGGGCAGTAGGGCCAGCTGCTTCTCTTCAAATGAAAAAGATATAAGTCAGCTGTTTTCTAACGTGGCACACGCCGGAATTATTGTTTGCCTATATATATATATATAAAAGAAGGAAACTATAAAAATATATATATATATAATAAGGAAAAAAAGAAAATCGCACCCACACGTATGAAAAATATATATATAAGTATATGTAACAATTTTTCTAGACAAAGTTTATTTGTACGAGTAAAGTGTCTCTTCTATCCTTTTCAGACACCATTCGCGAGACACAGGAAAGCTATTGTGTACCAAAGCCAGCTATATAACCGTTATTTTATTTTTTTTATTCCGCCACGAGAACCGCAGAAATTACATATTGACAGTTGTGCGGCAAAGACAAAAGAGCAGTCTTTCCCATCCTTAGTTCCGGTTTTTTCAAGTTTTCATTTCTCGCTCATTTGCTTCTCTATTTTATATATAATTTTTTTTTTTTTTTTTGCCACGTTTATCCTTATTATTTCCGCTGAAATGATTATTTATCCTAATTTAGAAAAATGCCCATTAATTTTATTTTGCAAATAAAAGTCAGTTCAACAAAAAAAAAAATACAAGAAGGAGATTAAAAACAATTTCTCTAGTAATATTTCTTTGTTCAAAAAAGGGTATTACTTTAATAAAAAAAAATTTATTTGATGCAAATAAATATTTAGTAGTTTGATTCAAATATGTAAATAGCAGTTTGATTCAAATAAATATTTGTTTGATTCAAATAAATAGTAGTTTGATTCAAATATGTAAATAGCAGTTTGATTCAAATAAATAGTAGTTTGATTCAAATAAATATTTGTTTGATTCAAATAAATAGTAGTTTGATTCAAATAAATATTTGTTTGATTCAAATAAATATTTGTTTGATTCAAATAAATATTTGATTGATTCAAATAAATATTTGATTGATTCAAATAAATATTTGATTGATTCAAATAAATATTTGATTGATTCAAATAAATATTTGTTTGATTCAAATAAATATATTGTAAATAAACATTTTTGATTTATTTGAATAAACTATTGGAACGAGAAAAATATTTTTTGATTTAGCTAAATATATGGCTGATTTAACCAAAGATTTGGTTGTTTTAAACAAATTGTTTCTGAGTGTTAAAAAAAATTCCAAGAAAATGAAAACTATATAAATAATTAGTTGTGGGTGTACATATTTCTTTGAATTTAAATTTAGATATACCGTGAATGAAAAATGATTTTGAAAAAATGAAAAATCGGTGCAAATTATATATATTTGGGAATAAAGAGAGAAACGCCATATGAAACATGATATTGAGAGTCACTGGCCATTGTATCCGCTTGCCCGGAACGGAACCGGCCATGGAAAATGTGCCAGGTACGTTGGCAGCGATCAACTGAGACATGAGCAGGTGCCCATTGGTTATTATCCGCACAGTCAAAACACCCTTTCACGTGAATTTTAAATTTAGAAATATTTAACAAATTTTTGCTATTTTTTTTTTTTTTTTTTTTTTTTTGAATTGAAAATTTATAATTTTAGTATTATTTGCATTATTATAATTTATTACGACATCAATTTGTAACTAAATATGTAGAGTAAATAATATTGTATTGTAAATTAAAGAAAAAATTCTCAAGAGGCGGGAATCGAACGCAAGACCCTAGCACTCGCAAGTCGATTACAAAACCACAGAGCTACGTTACATTTTGACTGAAAAACATAAAGTGTTCATTTTACAATAATAGTTTGGTATTTGTTAATTTTTTTTTTGTTTTTACTACTGCGGTGATTTAGCTCTAATTTTTTCCAATATATACATATAGATAAAGCGCAATTGATTCGTAAAAAAAAACTTAGATTTATCCCACAGCGGTCTATTGCTGAAAGGGGGAAAAAAAAGAAATTATTAAAAAAAAAAAAGGAAAAGAATCTGAGAAGATGCGCTTCGTTTAAAATGCGATTACTTAAGCCACTTAGATTGAAGAGAAGAGGCAAGACTATCGAGCCATATACTTTTCTTTCGAGAGATTCGACAGTCCTCGATGTTCTACTAAAATGCACTTCCACTCGAGTTTCTCTCAATAAGACTAAAAATTCCATCCTTTTTTTTTTTTTTTTATTTTCTTTATTATATTTATTTCTACAATCCCCTTTTTCTCTTTGGTATATATATATATATATATATATATATATATATATTCTTCGCGACTAGGTGAATTGTAAAGAGGGCTCTAACCTCAAAGTACAGAATATTACATTTTTTAATTTATTCGATTTGACATAATAAACTTGGCGTCATTTTTGTTACAACTCATTTTGAGTCAAAGATGCCAAACGCAATATTGCGCTTGCGCTACTACAAACTCTAATTGGTGGAAAAAAGCGCGCAATTTAAAATGCTTTAATATAAGAAAATGGTAAAAAAAATAATTTTCAAAGAACCTAATAAATTTGTTTTTATGTTAGAATTTAATTTTTTTTTTATATTTATAAAAATTATAATAAAATAATTATAAAAATTATAATAAAATAATTATAAAAATTATAATAAAATAATTATAATAATTATAATAATAATAATTAAAAGAATCATAAAAATTATTTTTAGAATAATTTTCAGTAGGAATAATTTTGTTAACTGAAAATATAAAAATTTTCTTATTTATGTAATATTTTTTATTTTTTTGAAATAAAATATGTATATATATATATATTTTTAATAGCTTTGTTGGATATATTAACTTAAGTTTCTCGATCATAATAAAATTCTCTTTAAAAGAAGATTTTCATTTAAGAAACTCTGGAAGTTGAGGGAAAACGAAGGAAAATGCATTGGCATTAAGTGAAGGATGAAGAATGGTTAAGATCCGTAATAGGAGAAGCATCGATCCAAATGTAAAAATAAGAATAAAATGCTTGAGGAAAAAAAAGTCTGATATGAAATGGAACAAAAAACATGCATATAAAAAGTTTTATTACATATTTTGCCATGTATATATATATATATATATTTTTTTTTTCCATATACATGTTTACTATTATAATATTAAATATACTACTAAAGAATTCTGTTTTAAATATAAAAATATATAAATAAAAAATATACATAAATAATTTAATAAATATTTATTATTTATTAGGTATTATTATTAGAAGAAGATAATTTAGAATGTTTTGCATTATTATTATTTTTATTAAAAAAAGTCACGAAAGTTTTAATCAAATAATAAATTTGGAAAATTCCCAACAAAAATTAAAATTATATTCTATACTTAATTTCAAGATGTAGACAAAATATTTACTATTATGATATTATTAAATCAAAATTATATTTTATTTTAATATATTTTATATATATATATATAGATTACTTGGACCATGAGATGGGGGAATTTTTTGTGAAAATTGAATGCATTTAATCTTACTCAGATCCAATTATAAAAAATAATTGGTTATTAAATAAGATGTTATAAATACATGATATATAAACAAATTGATGTGAAAAAAAATTTCCTCTTATTTTTTTTCTCAAATATTTATCTTTTTCGAAAATACATATTGGATTTTCCTGTATATATATATATATATATATTACACACGCGAAATACACGAAATAGCATTTCATCGATTTGTCGGGAGGCTGTATATATATACAGGATTCACTCATACTCTACAAATAGTAATCATGTTTCCCAAGTGATAAACTCTTGGGGAAAAAAATGGAGAGAATTTTCATTTTTCGAGCTTTGCAAACTCTCGAAAGCCCCCTGGTCCAATAATAATTTATGCAAGCGCTTTTTCATTGCGAATGGACCGAAAAACGACGAGTCCACCTGGATAATTATACACTGAGAGAGATAGAAAAAGAGAGAGGGAGAGAGAGAAGTTTGCATGCTTGTTAGATGAAAAACCTCTTTGAAAATAAGACGCGGGGTAATATAAAGTTGACCTCGCTTCTTAAATCCTTTTATCCAAAAATTTCAAAGTATATTTTGCCTTTCTTCAAACAAACCTCTTTTCATGTTTTCTTATTATTTTATTTCCCACTCGTCTTAATCTTTTTTTTTTTTTTTTTTTTTAATCTCTCGTTAGCCGTTCGCTTATGGAAAACAATTTGAACCGGAAAAAAAATTAAATTCAATATAGAAATTAGGCTGCTTCTACAATATAGGTCTTTAAAAATCAGAAGATGATTCTATTTAGCTATTGTGGAACTAGCCTAAAGGCGGTTCAAAGCCTTGACATAACCTCAAATTTTAAAAACTCAAACATTGGTTTTATCTCCAAAATATTATTGTTTTACTACACGGAGAAAAAAAGTTAGCCATATTATCTAAAATTTAGCTATTTTAGCTAACCCTATTTGTTATTATATGGACAGCAATTTTCGTTAGCTAATACCAGCTAAAAATTAGCTACTATAGCTAAAATAGTTTGCTGTAACAGCTAAATATTAGCTACTGTAGCTAAAAATTAGCTATCCATATAATAGCAAACTCATTTTTCTCCGTGTATAAATTTTGAAAGATCCTAAAAAGAAAAATTACTTTGGCCTCTATCTAAACTTTTTCTAAAAAAATAATTTTTAGTTTATTATAATTCTTAAACTATTTTAAGAAAATCGTGCGTAATCACGAAACTTGTGATGTTATTTATTAAATGAGATTATTCACGTGAAATAATTTAATAATAATAATAATAATAATAAAAATAATAATAATGTGTCTATAAAAATGCGTGATTCTTAAAAAAGATATACAATTATATTTTTTTAAATACAAAAATCAGGGTCGTTCATTATACATGAATTCTAAATTAGAAAAGGGTTAATTAAATAACATCTGGATACACACGCAAATCTTGAAAAAAAAAAATAGAAAAAATAAAACATTCGTACAATTATTAAAAAAAAATCAACGATTTAATGAAAAAGTGGGTCACAGAGAGGTCCTTTGTCGTAATGAATATTCAGTCAACTTTCACCTATATACATGTGTACATATATATATATGTATACACACACATTTCACTTATATATTTCTGCCCTTATTTTATTACGATACTTTTTTTTCGTTATTATTATTATTATTTTAGTATAATCAATTAAATTATCATTGAATTGACAATATTCACATATTTTTTATATATTTGGAAAAAAAATAACGTTTAATATATATATATTTTTTTTTATTGCGTTCGAATTTTTATTCTCTATTGAGAAATTTGAAACTGCAGAATTTCATTTTTAGATTCTTCAAAAAAAAATCTATTTCAGTAAAATTTATACTGTGTTTTTTATAGGGGGAAAAATATTTCTGCAACAACTAAATAAAATAAACATAAAAAAAATTGTGATAAATTATAATTTATCATTTTTATTTGGGAAAAATAATGAATAGGAATTATATAGATAAAAATTAAATTAATGTTACATGCACAGAAAATTAAAAGGCATTAAAATAAGCTGCAACGCTTCTTATTTTAATCCAATTTTGCTTATTTTAATACCAAAATGGATTAAAATAAGCAAAATTGGATTAAAATAAAATGCGTTGCAGCTTATTTTAATGCCTTTTAATTTTCTGTGTGGGAAAAAAAATTTACCTGAAACAGCGAAACGTTTCGCAAAAGTTTTACTTGTTTCAGTTAAATCTTTTGCTATTCTAGTGAAACTTTTCGCTGTTTCAAGTCAACTTTTTTTTTCCGTGCCACAAAAAAAATAATGAGACAAATAATCGTTGTTACAACCGTACCCGGTCTTTCCAATTATTTAATTTAGTAAAATAATTTTTTTTTTTTACTATAAAGTTTTAGTAAAAAACACGGAAAAAATTTTTTTATCTGGAACAGCTATATGTTTCTCTAGAATAGCGAAAACTTCGTTTTAGTAAAATATATATGATCTCTAAATCTAAATTATAGTAAAAATGTTTACTATAATTTAAATTAGTAATTCACTTTTTGCTTTAGAATTAGTTGAATTTTACTAATTGTTAAGTAAAAGTTACTAATAATTAGTAAAATTTGGCTAATTGTTAAGTAAAAGTTACTAATAATTAGTAAAATTTGACTAATTCAGAAGCAAAAAGTGAGTCACTATTTTAAATTAGTAAACATTTTGATACTAATTCAGATTTAGAGAGAATGGAGGGAAGAAATTACCTATTATATAATAATATATTATATAATTAGTGGTATAATTATAATAAATAAATTATTAAATATTATATAAAATTTGTGAGTTAAAAATAATAATGATATAAATTATTTGCCTTGTCGTTGTGAAAAGTTACCACCTGTCTTTCTGGAGAACCTTGTTTTCACTGCCCAGGTGCGAATTGTCGGTCGGCCCATGGTCGGGCCGACCATGTGCATGGTCGGCCCACCTCGGGCAGCCAGAGGTCGGGCCAACTAGCGAATTGATAACGTCGGCCGACCTATGGTCGACTAAGTTGGACCGACTATGGGTACCATAGTCGGGCCGACCAAGGCTGCCCTAGTTGGGCCGACCATCCTTGCCGACGGTCGGCAGCCATAGTCGGGCCGACCATGGCAGCCATAGTTGGGCCAACCTTGGCTGCCGACCATCCAACTTGACGGTCGGCAGCCATAGTCGGCCCGACTAAGGCAGCCGAGGTCGGCCCAACTATGGCTGCCGACCATCCAACTTGACGGTCGGCAGCCATAGTCGGGCCATGGTTGGGCCAACCTTGGCAGCTAAAATTTTGCCGACCATAAACATTAAAATATAAAAATTTGTTATACAAATAACATATATTAGTAATCATTTTAAATTCATTATACATTTATTTTATATACTTAAACACTAAACGCAATCGTAAACATACATATATACAAATTAAAATTTTTAACGCTCGCAGGGATCGAACTCGCAACCTAACGCACCGCAGTCTAATACGCTAACCACTACACTACGCAATGACATATGAGTCACGGAGAAAAATAAATGTTATAAGCTACAGCTTGAAAAAAATTAAAGTTAGTAATTCAAAATAATAAATTAATCACATATAACCTTTTTTCTTTTTAAATTAATCAATTACAAGTAAATTAACAAAAACATTTTACATTTGTCAATGGTAGGAGAGAAATTTACTTTATGATGGTCGGCCCAACTATGGGCCTTGGACGGGCCGACTGTCTCTTCAGAAAATTGAAATAAAAATAAAATGTTAATTATAATAATGAAAAAAAAATTAATCTAAAAATAAAACAATTTAGATAAGAAAATTATTTATATAAAACTTTTAATTTCAAAATAAATAAAAATTATGTAACAATTAAATAAATTTTTATTTTAGATACTTTGAGCTTTTACTAATTGATAGTTTCCCAGGTGCGAATTTCGGTCGGCCGCCAGAGTTGGGCCGACCATGGTAAATATTTGCACCCAAAGTTGGGCCGACTATGGCTGCCGACGTCGGCAGTCACAGTTGGGCCGACCATTGCAGCCATAGTTGGGCCGACTATGGGGGATTATGGTCGGCACAACCTTGGCAGCCATAGTTGGGCCAACCTTGGCTGCCATAGTTGGGCCGACCAGGGGGGGTAATGGTCGGTCCAACTATGGCAGCCACAGTTGGGCCAACCATGGCTGCCATAGTTGGGCCGACCATGGGGGTAATGGTCGGCACAACCTTGGCAGCCATGGTTGGCCCAACTGTGGCTGCCATAGTTGGGCCGACCATTCTTCCCCATAGTCGGTCCAACTATGGCAGCCACAGTTGGGCCGACTAAGGGGAAAATGGTTGGCACAACCTTGGCAGCCATAGTTGGGCCAACCTTGGCTGCCATAGTTGGGCCGACCATGGGGGACAATGGTCGGTACGACCTTGGCAGCCAAGGTCGGTCCAACCTTGGCTGCCATAGTTGGGCCGACCATTCTTCCCCATAGTCGGCCAAACTATGGCAGCCACAGTTGGGCCGACTAGGGGGAGAATGGTCGGCATGACTTTGAAAACCGCAGTTGGGCCGACTACGGGGAATGTAGTCAGCATGACTGGCAGCCGAGTATATCGATGGTCGGTATATCAAGGATTACAGAATTATTTTTCTCAAAAGAAACACGATTGTTGTCGTGTTGTGCTAAACAACAATAAATTTTCTTGCGAGATATTATTTGCTTACAAGTGGAATGTCAAAAGTTAAGTTCGATTGATTTATAAAATGATTAAAGCGAAATCGAATTATATAATTCGATTTCGCACAACCTTGGCAGCCATAGTTGGGCCAACCTTGGCTGCCATAGTTGGGCCGACCATGGGGGACAATGGTCGGTACGACCTTGGCAGCCAAGGTTGGCCCAACTATGGCTGCCAAGGTTGTGCCAACCATTTTCCCCTTAGTCGGCCCAACTGTGGCTGCCATAGTTGGACCGACTATGGGGAAGAATGGTCGGCCCAACTATGGCAGCCACAGTTGGGCCAACCATGGCTGCCAAGGTCGTACCGACCATTGTCCCCCATGGTCGGCCCAACTATGGCAGCCAAGGTTGGCCCAACTATGGCTGCCAAGGTTGTGCCAACCATTTTCCCCTTAGTCGGCCCAACTGTGGCTGCCATAGTTGGACCGACTATGGGGAAGAATGGTCGGCCCAACTATGGCAGCCACAGTTGGGCCAACCATGGCTGCCAAGGTTGTGCCGACCATTACCCCCATGGTCGGCCCAACTATGGCAGCCATGGTTGGCCCAACTGTGGCTGCCATAGTTGGACCGACCATTACCCCCCCTGGTCGGCCCAACTATGGCAGCCAAGGTTGGCCCAACTATGGCTGCCAAGGTTGTGCCGACCATAATCCCCCATAGTCGGCCCAACTATGGCTGCAATGGTCGGCCCAACTGTGACTGCCGACGTCGGCAGCCATAGTCGGCCCAACTTTGGGTGCAAATATTTACCATGGTCGGCCCAACTCTGGCTGCCGACCGGTCGGCAGCCAGAGTTGGGCCGACCATGGGCCGACGAACCAACTCTGGCGGCCGACCGAAATTCGCACCTGGGTGTCTGCGGTTATTATTCCAACTTTGGCGTATAACGTTCAAGAAACTTCGTGATTATAAATTATAACTTGTAATTAACACCTCAATAATTAAGATGCCAGACGACCCTATTACTTTATTAAATTTATCAATTTTATAATGAAATTAATAAAATACAATCAACAAATAATAATTATTATTTGTTAATTATAATTAATATACAAGATGCCTATTGTTTTATAATTCAGAAAAAGAAGTTAATTTGACCTAATCAAAAATTAACCTATTTTAAAAAATAATATAAAAATAATAAAAAAATATAAAATATAAAATAATATAAAAAAAGTTTAGATAATTCAAATAAAAATTTACTTCATAAATGCTTAAAATTCATTTAGAAATAAAATTTTTATTTAAAGGTTTTGAATACTTTTTTTTTTTTTTTTTGACATAACTTATTATTTAAAATTAATTTTCCTTCTCACGAGTTGCGAGAAAAAATGAAATTCAGCAAAGTTATTTGCAAGCTATTCGCAAATGGAATATATCTTTTTCGATGAATGAAATCTAAGCGTTTAGTTATCACAAGGTGCGGTTATCGTTCATCGGCTCAATTTCTCTTTGAATTTTTTTTTTTCCTTTTTATTTATTTTTTATTCAGAAGGAAAGAGAGAGAGAAAGAGAGAGAGAGAGAGAGATTAAACGAATCGGCGACATGGAAATTATTACACGACGATGTTGACCTCGACGTGAACTGACGTCAGGCCAGGTCTCGTATCGCGTCCTCGATAATTCGTAAGGTTCTATCTGCGCTGTCGCTCTGGTATTCTATTTCTATTATAACATTCCCGTTAGATTATAAGGAGGATCACGTATATTTAAAAGAATTTTAATGTCCTCTTCTCAGGATCAATTCAATATATATAAGAAAATGGAATTTACAATGCGAAATTCAATATAATGCCGTATATATACTAAAGAGAAAGAGAGAGAGAAATAGTTGTTTAATGCAAACAATTATTTTCTAATTTATTAAAAACAAAATTTTTTCATAATTAATCCAAAAATTGTGGTCTGAAAGTTAATTTAAATCGTATTTTTTAATTTCTTCCCACAGTGGGACAATGGCTGCGTGTGAATGTGCGTGGATTGCGCTTCCTAAAGTCTAGGGTTCGATTCCCCATGGAGGCAAAAAAAAAAAATTAATTCTTCCCTCTCAAGTATTTTATGTATAGTAAATATGTTTATTAAAAATAAAAATCAGTTTAAACTGAATTTTAAATTTAAAACGTTAACGATTTTAAACGGTTGCTATGGTAACGGTTATCATGGTAACGGTTGCTATGGTAACTGTTACCATGGTAACTTTAGGAGTATACGAAACTATAATGGTTTCGTCCCTGAACCACGAATATTCTAAAAATGATAAAATACAAAAATAATTGTTATAGTTTTTGAATGAAGAATAAAATACTATCACTGAGAAAAATGTTTAGTCAGAGCAACCAAAATTTGGTTGGGCCAACAAAAAAATTTTGTTGGTATTTAAGTAACCAAACTATTTGTTTGAGTCAACCAAAAAATTTGGTTGGTATTTAAGCAACCAAAGTATTTGTTTGCGTCAACCAAAAAATTTGGTTGAGTATTTTTTCTTGGTATAACAAAAATGTTTGGTTAGCTCAACCAAATTTTTTTTTGTTAGGTCAACAAAAATGTTTGGTTGATCAAACAAAGAGTTTTTTTTTTAATTAAAAATTTTATTCTACCTTATCTCTTTTCTTTTTATCTTTTTTATTTATTTCATCATTTATTTATTATTAATTTAACATTGAATTTATATTTATCCAATTGAAATATTTGTGCACTTTGAAAAATCTCATCTCCGCCTGGGATCGAACCTCTGTTTTAAAACTGAAGATCGAGAGCTCTGACCACTGGACTACCCATCCTTGTGAGAGATTTTAACTAATTGTTCTCTTAAGCTATGAGCTGAGAGCGAATCAAATTGTTTGGTTGTCGCAACCAAATTTTGGTTAGAACAACAAACGATTATTTGGTTTTTTAGACCAAACTATTTAGTTGTGTTAACCAAATTATTTTGTTGGAACCACATTTTGGTTGGAATCTAAAAACGTTCAACCAAATAATTTTGTTGGCCGATTGTTGGCCTAACCAAATGTTTGGTTGAGATAATTCTACGAATTTGTTTCAGCCAACGAAAATTTGGTTACAAGAACAAAAATTGCGCCTATCCAAATAATTTTGTTGCAAACACTAAATTTTTTTTCATATTTGAAAAAAGAAAATATTTTCTCATTCTATAATAATTTTAATGAAAAATTATTTAGCACAAAACAATATTCGAGGAAATTATTTTGTAACACTATATATATGATAAAATGCCAAAAAAAAAGAAACGCTTACATAAAATTATACAAAAGGAAGACGAACTGCGAATAAATTTGATTCGCAAAGAATATTTATCGAAGAGAGATAAAACTTGTCGATTTTGCTGGGATATAATACTTTCACTCTTTATTCTCATAGTATTAAAATTCGATTATATTATGTACAATCAATATATACCTGCAGAGATCTAACAATAACGTTATTCTTTATAATCGAGTATATTGCGAAAGAAAAATTATATTATTATTCTGTTTCATATTCCGATAATATTTCGAGAACCTTTTATATTTCTCTATAATCAAAAAAAAAGTGTGCCAATAATTTTGACATTTGGCGCGCAAAAAAAAATAGTTGAAAATTATTATTTGAATCTATATATATGGTTATATATAGTATATAATTTTACATTGTAATTGAAAAGATAATATAAAGAGCGCGGGAAAATATAGAAAATAATAGACGCAATAAAAATCTAATAATATCTAATAAGAAAAATTATTTTCAAATATAATATTATATATAGAGTTTGACTATATTTTTTTCTCGTTATAATGTGTGTTACGCTTTTTCGCCCGGGAGAATAACAAATATATATAGAGTTGGAAATAAGTCACGGTGCACCGACGCGAATATAATCAGATCGCGTTTGAAATTGTAGAAATGAAATCCCTAGCGTCATTTTCTGTACTCTTTACCTTTCATATATTCTTTATACTCACATATAAATATATATATATATATATATATATACGCACGTTATAATATATATTCAACAGAAATGATAGATTGCATATCAGAAGTTGATTCGATTAGGGAAGGTTTTATATTGTATGTAGGACTCGTTGAATTATGTGAATTCCTCCCGTGGGAATCAACGAGTTAAGAGAAACAAGGTAAAAGTTGTTATTAAGTGGTAAAACAAGGGAAAAAATTCAAGAAAAACAATTTTTCCATCTGCCACTTCGAGTATTTGACTTTATTTTTATTATCTCAAATTACTGCACTAAGAAATTTTTATTTCTGTACTAATCTATATAGAAAATATACAATGCGAAAAAAAATTTACTGTTTGCAACAAAATTGTTTGATTAGGCAATTTTGGTTCTTGTAACCAAATTTTGGTTGGCTGAAACAAAGTCGTAGGGTTAACCAAACATTTGGTTAGGCCAACAAAATTATTTGGTTGAACATTTTTAAATTCCAACCAAAATGTGGTTACAACAAAATAATTTGGTTACAACAAAATAATTTGGTTACAACAAAATAATTTGGTTAACACAACAAAATAGTTTGGTGTAAGAAACCAAATGATCGTTTGTTCTCCTAACCAAAATTTGGTTGTCAAAAAAAATTTGCTTAGTCAAAGTTCAAAAAATTTATTAAAATAAACCAAACAGTTATTTAGATCAAATAAATATTTATTTGAATTAAACAAATTTTGTTTGAACTAACCAAAAAATTGGGTAAATATAAAAAAATGGTACATTTGGTTCAAACATATCTTTTTTCTGAGTGTGTTAACTATAAATGAATTTTATTATTTATTTTGAAATGAGCCAAATTTTTATTTGAATTATAATCTTTTTAATAGGTAAAAACGATAAATAATTAATAATAATTTAATTATTTTTGTACAATCATAAAAAAAAATTATTTGATTCAAATACACGATTACTTGACCATTATAAAATATTTATTTTTAAATAATTATTATTTAAGATGAAATTTGTTTCAAATACAAGAAATTTATGGCTCAAATACAATTTATTAAATTCAAATAAAAATTATCAACTCAAGTATAAATATTTGATAATATTTAAGTAATCGAGTATTTAAATCAAATAATTTTTTTTTCAATGTATAGCCCTAATTCTTGGAACGTATACCTTTTCGAAAAGTTATTAACAATTTAAATTGATTTTTGAAAATTCGTAAGGAATCTTTCAAACTCTCTGCGCAAAATACCAATAATGACTGATCATTGCAGACAAGATTCGAATTTCTGATGATACTTGATCTCTGTGTAGAGACTCAACAAGTATTTCACGAGAATGTGTATAAGTACTCGTGAATTCAAGTTGAATTCCCTTTAGTCGTTACCACTTTGAAATCTAATCATTAAAGAAATTTCATCTCTTATTTTATTTTATTTTTTTTTAAATGTGTTTTTATTTTATTATTTATTATTTCATTTTTCCTATATAGAAAATGGTTGTTTTTTTATATTGTATGGAAAAGTAAATTTTTTTTATTCTATAAAAAAACAGTTAATTATATCAAATTTTAAAAAATAATGTACAAATTTCTATAACAATAATAATATAACAATAATAATGATAATAATAAATACAGGTCAGTACATTAATTTCCGGCTCATATTGATATGATTTGACATAAAATCATTTTAGTGTAAAATCCAACGACCATGTACCAAAATTTATTGCAAAATCGTAATATTCATGCGTATATCACTTGAAATCCTATTTGTTTATACAGACAGTATAATATTTTGTTATATACAATTTTTAAAAACTCCAATTTTTGTTATTGTTACATAAAAAAAAATAAATTTACATTTACCATTCTAATTATAATTACCA